TTCGACTATATTAGACGACGGTTTTAGTAAAACACAGACGTTTAAATAATGTTAAATGTCAAGAACAACTACAAAGCGGACGTAAAAATGATTATCAACATCTCTAATTGAAAGAAAACCGATGTGTAAAACATAGAAACTGTCGTGGTTAATATATACTACGTTCACTAAATAAAAAAACTGACGTCTAAAACATATAACATGGTAAATTAGACGTCACTTTTGTAAAAAAAAAAGTGACGTTTGAAAACTTTAACATGGCACATATTTACTTCGACTGACGTAACAAACAAATAACCACGACCCTTTAGGTCTCCACAGACGTTGAAAATGATTTTGACGGCTTGAACAGAGAAATAAATTACGTGGATTTAATATTGCACGTCGGTTAATTAAAATATTTGTCATGTTTAATCCATTTACTATTGCCTAGGAGTCACATTTTGGGATGTGGTTAAATATTTACAACGTCGGTTTTTATAGGCCTTGACGTGGTTGGCATTTTAAAAGTCTCTTTTGTGAGCCACTTAGACATGTGTAATGTCTGAGACGTCATTACGTTTAGCCTAACCGTCGTTAAGAAGTAAGGAAACGCCTTGAATTATGGATTTGACGTCGGTTATTGTAAAATGAAGGTCGTGGTTAGAACTTTACTATGTCCCAAGTGTTGGAAAAAATGGCTCACCTAAAGGATACAAAGGTTTTGGCGCTCAAAGGAAGAATTTGAAACTGCCTAAAAGCGACCGGTCGCTGGGCATTTGCGACCGGTCGTTTTGAAGCAGATTCGAAGTCTGGAGCTAAACCAAGGAGCGACCGGTCGCCAGTTCTTTGCGACCGGTCGCAGGAAGCACAAGCGACCGGTCGCGTGGCATTTGCGACCGGTCGTCCAGAGGCAGATTCAAAGTCTGGAGGGAAAACCTCTGGCGACCGGTCGTCCCAGTCGTGCTGTGATGTTTTGCTTACGTATTTTCAACGGTCTTTTCAAGGGCTATCGCTTTCCACAAGTTTGCAGGTGCTTAATGGGTCACTTCTGAGGTAAATGAGGGTTGACTACTTGCTGGATAGTTGGGAGAGCACTCATGGCTAATTGGTTATCTTATTTTGAATAATCTCCTCTCCATTTTCTGGTTTAATGGAGGTGGCTGAGTGGGATTGTATTACCTACCTGATCTGACCCTTAGTCTAAGTGGTGACTAAAAGGAAAGAACGTGGAGGACAATCAGATATCCTATCTCTTGTCCATTGGCTTGTGTAGGTAATGGGATGAAGTAAGATAACACAAGGGAGAAAGCATGTTGAACATATGTAGTGGCAAAAGCTGGAAACAATGGTAGTTTTTTGTGAGAGTTTTCAGAAAAAAAACCAAGGGGAGAGCAAGTGAGTTCTCTAAGTGTATCAAGGTGTTGAGCAAGGGTGTGAGAGAAACAGATTGTGAGGGTAGTGTTCTAAGGGGGTTTCCTTTGTAAACCAAAGTTGTAACCTATCTTCATTAGTGAAATTTCTCAAGGTGATCACCAAAGAGGATGTAGGCAATTTGCTGAACCTCTATAAACACTTGTGTCATTTGTGCTTGGTTAATTTCTGTGTGTCCATCATTGAGTTCTTTGTCCAAAGTCCATCAACAACAAGATCTTAAAAGGGCAGTGAGTTAGTCATTTTAATTCACAACACCAAGAATCCAATTCTTCGACGTTGTTATATAACTTACTACGTCGGTGATTTGTTTATTCCATGACGTGGCTAGTCTTTGTTAAGTCTCTTTTATAACCTTTTTTGACGTGTGTATTCTCCGAGACGTCAA